GAAGGTGGGATGGTGGGAAGCGGCGGAAGAAGTCGGGAGGAGAGAGAGAGAGAGAGAGAGAGAGAGAGAGAGAGAGAACAAAATCAAATGAATCCACCACTAGAACATGGAAATATACATTGCGCACATGCGCACAGCACACCAGATGTGTGCTGCGCAGTGCGCACTGCGCACCCAGATGCGCGGCGCGCACCCTGGGTCCGCGCACAGTACACTGCGCAGTGCACAGTGCCGGTGCGCCACAAGTATGATTTAAGCCCCTGGGACTTGAACTAAGATCAGCGGCAGGTTGCAAGGGGGCGGAGCAGTGTCCATGCTCACCAATATCTCCAGAGAAAAAGGAAGCCAAATAGGGAGACAGCAATGCAGAAAATTGAGATTAAAATATACAAAACGGTTGAAAAAACATCATTCCACGTGAAAATGGATGCATACCTGGGCTGGTCCCCAGGTGGCCCGGCTGCGGGAAGGTCGCCCGGGTACCCTCCCGGGCGGCGCGGTCCGGGCAGGGTCCGGGCAGGGTCCGGGCAGGGTCCCAGGCAGCCCCAGCGCATAATATTAAAAGAAATAACGAAATTCAAATTCAAAAAATTTTGGAAAAAAAATGTTGTAAAATTGCAGTACAAGCAACTTTTGGCTGAGGGTCCCCTCGGAATTCCTTTTTAATTTTAATATAAAAATGGAGGAGGAGAAATGAGGTCAGATATACCCTTTTAAAAACCTCTAGTCACTGTTTAGAGTAACTTTACAGCCCCCAAACACCTCTGGGCAACCCACCACAGAAATGAAAGGTAAGGCTGGATTCTGACTGCTCAGGCCGAGCGCAGTCCTGCCTTGAAGTCAGTTTCTTTTTTTGGGTATCCTTCCCTCTTTTTTGACGTGTCTGGTTTTGCCGGGAGATCTCCCCCTGCCCAGCTGGACCGAGCATGCCTGGCCTGGCGATGGCCTGACCTAGATGCATACAAGTTTTTGTAACATGGCCAGTAATGACCTCTTCTCTGTGGAACAATGATTCCGTTTCCCTAGCTTAGACCCGGTTTTGAGTAGCGCTCAGCATGAGACCTCACACCAGACCCTGCCAAGCCCAAATGTGAGACCAGCGGTTGGACGACACTTCCCTTTTTTTTGTTTTGTACAATTGCAGGGCCTCGTACTTCGGGATTTTTGAAGTACAGACAGCCCAAGCTGAGCATGCTCCATGCCTTGTTTCAAAATAGGTGGGTGGTTTCCAAACATTCATCACCTTTTTGGTTTGAAAATCATGGTGGGCTCTTGTTTTTAACACACACGAACACACTCATGTGTGCATGCATGCATGCATGCATACACACATCCATTTGAACCACCACTATTCCCATGCCTCTCTTTCCCAATGCAACATTTTACCCAACCCTGAGCTACCAGAATGGTGGGGGTTGTGCCTGGCAGTGGCAGCCATGTGCCTTGGATATATAATATATTGTCACATAACTACCAACCAAAATATACGAGACAAATATGAAGAGCACACTGAAACCGTTCTTTTGCCTATTCCTATAAAGTTCTTCCTTTTCTTTTCTTACTGTTTTTTTCTTCTTTTAGCTCCCGTTTCAGTGTGCCCTCTGACGTTTGCCACATTGATGAAGTTGAGTGTGAGCTGCCCGCATCCCCCTGTGTGATAACGGCGCACTCGTATGCTGTGAAAAAGAGGCCAGGCAAAGGGGGAGGGGATAAACACAGAGAAAAGATGGAAAGAAGACAAAGCAAAGGAAGACAATGAATGAGAAATTAAACCACCAGTGCCCTTGAGCTACCCCTGCCGAACATATCCGCGGCCAGTGCCTGATACTGTGGGAGGACATACCAGGAAATAGAGCTGTCATTGCCGGGAGGGAAAACGAAAAAAAAAAAAAAAAAGCAAGTTGTATAAAAAAAAAGGGGAAAAACAAAAGAATAAGAAAGAACAAGACAAGGGGGGATTTGGGCCATGCTGTTGGGCCTCGCTCCAGCACACACCAAATGAGCAAAATGAGAATGAAGCGCTAGAACACGGAAGGATAGACTGCCATAATTTTTGCCTTTTGTTCATGTGGTGAGCGGTGGAGCAAGGCCCGTTGGCAGCAGCCCTCAATTTCAGTGAAATTTGCAAACAGATTCATCAGTATAGCGCGATCGGAGGAAAGAATGTCAGACCCAATGTCAGGCACGATTGTTTTTTTTTTACAATAAGAAAAATGTATCTGTTTTTTTTTCTACAATAATAAAAATGTATATGTTTTCTTTTCTACAATAAGCAAAATGTATATATATTTTTTTCTACAATAAGAAAAATATATCTGGACTGGGTACGCAGTCCTGATACGTTCAAAATGTTGTCACTCTCTGAATGTATCAGCCCACAATAACAGTCCTGCCCCCGTGGCCCACAGCATGTGCGGCGCACCGGGAAAATAAGTACCCACAAAAAGATGGGGTCGCAGGCCTGGATCGGTGGTCACCTACCCCCCTTTCAAATATTGGTTGCATGATGGGAAAAAAAAGACCAAGCTGGGAGACCAATGTCGCCAAGTACCGGAAAAACTGCTGTTATAACTAACTACCGGAATGCAAAACTTATTGACATACCCGGGCAAAATTATGGGCATATCAGGGACTGAGGTGGACCAGCCAAGTTATGCTCATACCCACGAGCTGTTGGGCCACAACAGTCCACATGGTGGGCATGAACATAATTTTGTGATCCGCCATCCAAGACCAGCCCCTGGGTGTGGGTACACCCACGATTTTGCCAGCCCGTTCCCAGGCATTAGCATAATTTCATGGTCTGCAACCGAGGGCCTGTAGGGCTAAGTATGCCTACAATTTTGCACAGGGGAAAAGTTGGGTACTATGCAGAGTTGAACGGGGTCCGGGCATACATGCAAGTTAGGTGCTGGGACTGGGTACGGTCAGTATTCCCATCTTTAAGTTGGGTACAGATGCACTTCCCCCCCAAAAAATGGGGCTTTTACATGCCCGGGTTCACCCGCGTGCGTGACCTCCTGGGCGCGTCGCCAGGCTGAGCCACAATTAACACAGGTTCATACCCCGAATTCCAGATCAGATCCTCATCACTGCGCTGCAGAATTGGCAAATGGAAGGAAAGGGAGCATCATGAAGTATCAACCACCGTGAGCTATACACACGTAAGAAGGTTTGAGGTAACCACCCTGCGCTTTGAAGTTGTTTTAGGACTCACCTCTGGCGGAATAGAATCTTCATCTTCTGATGAAAACATTGATCCCTCTGCCTCTGCTTCATGTTGTGAAAATACTGATTCCGTTGCTCTTGTTTCTTTTGGTGGATACGCCTCAGATTCTCCTACACCTTCTCCATCCATCTGACACTCATACCTCTCTGTATGATTATCGTCATCTTCAAGCACCAATGCTGCCTTGCCCGGTATTTCCAAACCTGTGAGTGGCTCAACATTTCCCTCAACCCCACCTCCATGACCTTGTATTACAGCCTCCTCCCCATTACTTCCATCCAGGCATAACGTCTTGCTCCTGTGGATAATCACCTGTCCCTCGAGCAAGTTCCCTGTCGTCGAGTAATGAGCAATGCCCACTGCACGGCCTTTTTCATCATGCCGAGGACGTGACACCCCAGCCAAGCGTCCCGCAGAATGCTCCCCTCCAACCCCTGGATCTCGGAACCGTCTCCTGATTCCAGTTGTTGCCTTTGACAGAGCCCCCTGGAACTCATCAGATACCTCTCCAAGACGTCTGAAAACAGTGTCAACTGCATCGTCAACATGGACTGTTCACAGATAACCCCAAAATGTGTCAAAAGCTGAAATTGTCTATCGACGTATGGCCGATGATGGAAGAAACAGTGCAAATAATCCCCTCTTTTTGACGAGTACATAAATGACTTCGAGGACATTTTACCCCTTCCATTCCACAGGGACAACAGCAGGACCTGACATCACTCATCATCACCAAGTGTGGGTGGACTCAGCGCAGCATACATAGAAGGTGCGCGCTAAGCCCGGATACATCCACGGACAAATGTGGGGAGAAGAGACGAAGGGAAGAGGGAGATAGGGAGGATCAGCCACCGTAGCCCGATGAACCCAGTCTCCAATGTATCCCCAATGTCGCTGCTCATACAATGTCAAGTCGGAATGTCACTGAATCAGGCAACTCCCGAAAGCCACCAAGTCTCAATGTCAACTCTCTCTCTCTCTCTCTCTCTCTCTCTCTCTCTCTCTCTCTCTCTCTCTCTCTCTC